GATGTATCAATCCATGTTCAGAGGTACACAGATAACTAGTAGGGTGCACTTACACAGCTTCTCCCTGCTCCACACCTATCAGCAGCTCTGCTAATGATAATGTAAGTGGTGCTGACTGAAAGACTTTTGTTACACTGCATCCTCCTTCAGTCAGTGTAATGTCAGGCTGTCCCGGAAGGCCCATTGCTTCCTTTGTTGTGCTGCCTAAGTCTTGGAATGATGACAGGCAATTGCTGGAGGAGCAGCAGATAATGTGCCTGCAATCTGTTCTCATCCAGCCAAATCATTGCTACAAGGAAGAGAATTAGTTGGGGATTACCATGTCTGTTGAGATACTGTAAACTCTGGGACTATTTCTCTGCTTATTCTTCACACCCACACTTTTATTTGCATCTTCCATTGCACTGAAGTTTATTGCTTGCAGTAAGCTTATTTTAGCAGTGCTTTTAATGAGCTAAAGAAAAGTATCATTTAGCAGTTCCCTGGGCACAGTTCAAGTCTTCTGAAGCTGTGAGTGCTAGGAGACCACAGGAGCAGAGACATACAGGATGGATGAAGAGATGTGAATTCATTGGAGTAAAAACACATGCAATGTGTACTGCCCAGGAGCTCTGTGCCAGTATAGAACAGTCTCAGAAATTAAAACCTGAGTGCTGCTGGAGTGCTCAGAGAAGAGCAGAATGGTGATGGTGGCACAAACATCCCTGTGCCTATCCCATGTCAGATCCATAACATTTTGAGGATTGTCTTTCACCACAAGCCAGTGCCCCTGAACTGCAGGTCTACTGTACATGAAGCCCATGCAACAGTTCAGCAATATTGCAAGTTCTGCTACTGTATAAGCCTTTAATAATGCCAATCCTAATGATTACAAGACTAATATACTGAGGCATTCTTCCCAAATTATAATGTGTTCTCACATTAACATAATGCAGCCGTTTATCAGAGAAAAAGAGAGGGAAAGGGAGGGAGGGACTTAATTTCACGTCTGCTGGAGCAAACAATTACAAATTGCAGGACTGTCTGAGTAAGGACTGAGACTGCCTAAACTATTAATAAGCCTCCTGAGCTGTTCCTGTATCTACCTTGCTCTTGCTTTCACTTGTGCCAAGGCCCTTTTGCTGTTGTAGCTAGGCAGGTTTTCGGAAGTGCAGCAATGCCACCCACACTGAAAAACTGCAGATACTAATAATAAACAAGAGGAGACAATGGTGAGGAACAGTGCTGCTGCTTGGCCCTCTGCCCAGCCATGACAAATGCACTGGGCAGCCCATGAGAACTCCTGGACTCTGCATGAGGAGGAGGATGGAGGCTAACAAACACCAACAGCTACAGCTGCAGGGGAGACACAGCCCTGGGTGCAGTGCAGAAGTGAATACAGATATGTAGGGCAGTTCCTTGGGAGTTTCCTTCTGCACTGCCCTCCTGCTTACATTAACCCATCTTTGCCCAGCCTCCTGTCACTCTAGTACTGGCTTTGAAGCTTGGGGTTTGTTCACTTCTGGGATCCCCAAGTGGGAGATTGAATTAAAATAAGGAGATGAGGCAGAGCTGTGAAAGGAAGTTAATATTCCAGAGGAAATGATAAGTACAGAAATCATATACACTGAGTAATCCAGGCCCACATTACAACCCAACCTGGCTGGGCAACAACTGGGAAACACAGATGTCAGATTTTGATTCTCTAGACAACAGACTCACCCTGTTGGCTGAATGCTAGAACTCATCCCTGGAAATGTGAAAGTCTTGGAGCCACTGTGGTGTAGAAGCTGCATAGAACTCCCAGAATTACACTCTGGTCAAAAATACTGCTCTGAGTCAGTAAAATCAGGCAGGAATGGTTGCTGTTGAACCTAGCAGAAAAAAAACCCAAAAAACCAAAACAAAACAGCAAAAAAAGCCCCTTGAGAAATGTTTCTTTCCAAGCCTTGCAGTTCTGCAGGGACTCTATATGTCTGAGCAACAGGGAGTGCCTGGGAATAACAGCACTGAGCTAGTCTGTTCTTTCTGTCTGCAGTGCCTACACTGAGCCCTACAAGGTGTGCCCTGTCTCCATGATACCCATGGAAGTCGTCACATCAGATGAGGAACAGAAGAGTTCAGAAGATGAGGAGAGCAGTCCTGGGGATCCCAGCCTCACCAAGGTAAGAGACCTGAAAATGAGGAATGCGTGAAACCCAGAGGGGGAAGAGCAACTTGAAGAACCTGTTTAGCTGACAAACCACTAGCATTTCTAGAGCATATCCTAGTGTCTTATCTCAGATTGTCAGGTTCCTCAGCATCTCTTCGTTGTGAGGCTAGTGGCAAAGTGACAACAAGACAGCAAACTGAGGGGTTTTCACTTCTGTTACAGGAGTTATTGCTAAAAACCTGTTTGAAATGGGGCAGGTATAAAAATGTGAAACAGGAGGTAGGGTTTGAATTTTTGCCTTTATTTCACTGAGAAGCTAAGCAATTGTCATCAGAGGTCACATGGCTCTGATTCTTCTGTGTAAGACTAACAGTGAAAATTCATTATTTCTGGTTAAATAAGCTCTTTATTTCCTTCTCTTCAGTCTGCTGGCATATGGCAACAACCTAGAGAACTGAGAGGCAGGGAATGCTCTAAGTTTCCTTAACCTTTGTGATGCTACTGGAACATATTACAAAAAGCAATGCCCTTCACTCACATTACTGATGGAGATTCACTCCTTTTTTTCTCCTGTTAAGCCAATTTAGAAGAAGGTCCTGGACTATCTCTTATTCATGTGTCTTTTATATATGTTCATTTAATTAAATCCCTCTGAGTTTATCAGAAGGTGACACATGGCTTTTCTGCCCTGGGCTCTCAAGGTTGTGTGATAGCATCTGAGCTGCCTGCAGAAAATAATATTGGAATTAGGGGTTCCAGTTAGCAATGGAAAACTCTTTACCAAGTAAAATAAGGCCTTGATCAGAAGAACTGAAGGGAATCTCAGAAGAATAGTAAGAAAAGAATGGGATTAATCTCTATGAATACCTGTAAGAATATAAAGCACTCAGGAAATAAATTAATACAAATCCTAGGAGAAGTAATAAAGCCATAATGGGAACATAAAGACATTTCTTTCATCCAGAACACAGATCTGTCTGCCAGTTAACTGTGTGGGAAATCTAAAAGTAAACCAATCTGTATACAAATACTGTTGAGTTTAGTCTAAAACCAGGAATATGTTACAAGGAACTGTATAAAACCAGCACATGAGGGATGTGATCTTACCCTGGTGGCAAAATGTGCAAGTCTGTAGCAAGGTGAGCAGCATATAAGCAGAGCAAAATGGTATAAAAGGGCAGGAATTCAGATCAGATATGGCTGGATTTTATGCCAGTGAAAACCCAAAGCATTCTGGCTAGGTGGTGTGCTGGGGGAACAAAGGAGAACATCACAAAAAATGATCCCTAATGCTGTTCTTGTGAAAAGACAGCAGTGGAGATAAGGTGCACCACCCTTCTCCCAGTGTCACAATGAAAGGGGGGCAGATGGAAGGAACCTGCACAGCACACAGAACGCTCAGCTGAGCCTCAGAGGTCTCACAGCAACAGGACACAAAACTGCTTTTGCTGCTCCTTCCCCATTTCTACTCGCTGGGCTTGGCTTCCAGACTCCATTAATCATTCTGTTTTGCAAACCTTTAACCTTCACATGTTAGAATACACACCCGTGCACGCACACACAGCATGAAACGTGCTGGAGTTGGGAAGGGCAGATTTGTGTGCCTTGAGGAAGCACCAAATTCAGAGGCCTGTCAAGGGACAGCTCTTGATTTATAGAATTACACAGATCCCCAGGAGACCTGCAGTCTAGCTCTTCAAGGACGTGGCCTGGGAGACAGATGTGCACTGCTTTTCCGTCTCTCGGAGCCAGTCTGAAAAACTCACTTGTTCTTCTGACGCCTCAGTTTACTATTGGCACCACTGTGAACTGCCACAACAGTGCAGAATAATTACAAAAGGGGCATTATGAAGTCACTCAGCTCAGAGACTGAAGCTTATAAAACTGCTGTAAGCCTCTGGCTGTGACAGTAGTGCTCTTGTCAGGGCATCATCGAGCTACAATACATCTACCCTGAGCAGTCTGTGAAATAAGACACACAGAGTAACACACATGGAGAGATCAGCTCATCCATGCCAGCTTGGCAGGGCAGGGGCACACTCAAGGATGGAGCTGCTTCTTCCTTGCCTTCTCTAGTTGCCCTGCTTTGGAAATGCTGAGGGTTACACCCTGAGAACTCCAGCAAAGTGACTTGCACAGTGCTAATGCTTCCAGCATAGTGAACTGTTCTGTGATCTATTTGTGCTGCTCTTAGGCCAAACAATCCCATTCCAGCCCCATGGAGGCAGGCTCAGCCTCAGCCCTGCAGTTTAAGCTGGATCAGGAAACCAGTCTGGTTCTGATCAAGGTTGTACAAAGGGCTGGGTCAGCACAACTGAGAGCTGGCACTGGGCTCAGAGGGGAGTGACTGGCACTGTCACCAAAGTGCCATCAGCTCTTATGATTAATGTGTCTTAGCCAAGAGACAAAATTCAGGGCCCTGAGTGTCGCGTGGCCTGTCTAGGGCAAGTTTGAGAGCGTCTCTAGGCGTTGCCTTCTTGTGTTGCTTAATTGTTGTTTGTTTAACCAGGAAATGAACTCTAAGATTGACGACAGTGTGTGGAGACAGACTTCTGGGAACAGGGGATAGAGGAGTGCAGGTCCCTCTACCATCAAGTTTCTGAACCAAAGCCCAAGTGATTCTTGCACTGCCAAGCTGCCACTTTTTTAGAAATTGTGACTCCCTGCAGCCAGCCATGTGCCCAGCCCTGTGGTGTGGCTCCTTCCCAGAGCTGCCCTCCCACCTTACTGAATGCCTTTGCTTGGCACCTGGGGGCCCTGCAGCCATGTGGGGACACTTGGCTTTCTGCTTCAACAAGTCTTCCCAGCACACCTGGTCTGGCAAACAGCATCACAAAGACTTGATGCCACACTCATCTCCCTTGAGTCCACATTAGGTCACTGAGGGCTGCTTTTCTTTACTACTGTTTTAGTTCCCCCCTTCACCACTGCTAAAAATGTCAAACTTTTCCCAGTACATATTTGTATACTTTGGTCATCTCTTATCATAAGGATGAGTCATCAAGTAGGAGCAAAATACCCTAATTAGCCACTTGCATCTCAGAGCCACTTCTTGCAGAGTTATCTGAGTCTTCCAAGATGCCTCCCAGTTAAATAGATGCCACTGGGATGGCAAACAATGTTGTTTGGTGAAGTACTGAACTGTTTCTGGAGATACTTATGGCCATTTAGTGAAGACATTCTGTTCAGCATGCAGTCAAGCCCTTTGCCCCATTTGCTCCCACAGGTCTCACATCAGTCAGAACAGTCTGGAATATGACCATTTTGATAAAGAACTTCCTTTTCCATGTGGTATGAGCCTCAACACCATGAAACTAGCCTGTTTGAAGTTAAGCACTGTCTGCTTCTTTGACAAATTTTGGACCAGGAAAAATCAACAGAAATTTCTTCTCCTTCTTTAAGAAGAACACATTTTTCAGACCCAACATCTGCATTAGCAGCTATTATATTGTACTACATTACTAATATTTGAATTGGGGAAGCAGCTTGTCATGGAAAGAAGTCCAGGATGCCAGACACAAAGAATAAAAGTCTGGTCACTATTTTTACTGAAGGAATATGTCAGTTCAAAGTGCTTTCTAACACTACTTTACTTCTTGGAGTAAGACATCTCTTAATTCACAGAATCACAGAATTTTAGGGGTCAGGATAGATCTTAGAGATCATCCAGCCCCGACCCTCTCCCTCCAGAACAGGTTGCTTGAAGTGGGGTCTCACCAGAGCAGGGTAGAGGGGGAGAATCACCTCTTTTGACCTGCTGCTCACACTCCTGTGGATGCAGCCCAGGATTGGATTCACTTTCTGTGCCGAGCTCACACTGCAGCTCATTGTGCCTGCAGGTGTCAATTGTCTCTGACTTTTTCTGTTGGCAGAAAGAAGGCCAGTCCAGAGCTTACCTCATTGCCCAGGAGCTGATGTCTTCAGAGAAAGTGTGAGTTCATTGTTACAACCTATCTGTTGCTCTACAAAAACTCTGCAGTCCACCCTTCGGCATTGGTGTGACAGCAATTAATAAAAGTTTGTCTCTTTCCCCAGATATGTGGAGATGCTTCAGCTGTTACGTATGGTGAGTAAATAATTTTGATCACTGAAGCCTAATTGCCCTTTTACTTCACTGTGACTTAGAAGACGTAAAAGCACGGAAGGGATTGAGTCTGTTGCTCTACAAAAACTCTGCAGTCCACCCTTCGGCATTGGTGTGACAGCAATTAATAAAAGTTTGTCTCTTTCCCCAGATATGTGGAGATGCTTCAGCTGTTACGTATGGTGAGTAAATAATTTTGATCACTGAAGCCTAATTGCCCTTTTACTTCACTGTGACTTAGAAGACGTAAAAGCACGGAAGGGATTGAGGCAAATTTGAGAAGGCTTTCCCTCGTTTCCCTATCCCTTTCCTTTTCTCCTTTCTCTGATAGATAACTGTGTGGTGAAATTTGTATTTTCACAATAATCCTATTTTCTGCCTGTAGAAGAAAGTTTGGAAGGAAGAGAAAACATTGTATGGGCTCTCTTTTCCAAGCTGATAGCTTCAACATGGGACAGGGATTCTGGTTTATATCTTTGTTAAATGTTTTTAGTTTAGAAACAATTCTGGATGCAAGTGCATGCTGCTTCCCTCCAGCTGGATGGACTCCAAACTGTTGGCAATCCCTAACAAAAAGAATCTTCATGAAAATTACAGCCCATTGGTTAGTTAGGGAAAAACTCTGCTTGATTGTTAATTATCTGCTGAAGTGCTCCAGAGCTGGCTTAAATATATGAGAGAATGAAAACAGAGTTTTCCTGGCTCAAGAATGTAACTACTCCCTGCTCTCCTGTTTGGGAACTCAGACACTTTCTAAACAGAAATGCTTATTACAGAAAGTAAGTAATATTACCTGGAGCTTGGTCTGACAGTGCTGGAATTAAGGTTTTAGGCAATGAGGAAAACTGAATCAGCTGGTTAATTCATCAGGGGAAAAGATACCAATAATAGCACTCCAAAGACTGGAGTGCTCTCCAAGTTCTTCTATTTCTGTCGGCCATGAATTTTAATTGGACACACTTGTTTGGTTTTTATGTTTCAGTCTAACAGAGTATTTCAGAGTCCTGTTTTGCTGGGATTTTGTTTCCCTGCCTGCCCATCCCACTGGAGTAGAGGAATCTTATGAGTGGTTTTCATATGCTTATTATTACCTTAATTACAAAAGTTAGAGCACCAAAAGAAGAGTTAAAATGTCAGAGATGGGCCTAAAGTAAAGCCTTGAATGAATGCACTGGTTTGGACAGTTGAGCCACTCGCTGCATATGAAGTGTCAAAATCACTGTAACCATTCACTGTTCACTTTCCCTGTCCTAGTTCCCATTGTCCTGAGTTAGAAAGTTCAAAAAAAATCTCATCAGTTTTAGGCTGAGATTTTGGATGCAGAGTTTTGATTACTGATTATCTTCTGTGGTGGAAAAGTAAGTTCTTGCCACATCACCAAATGCATACACTCCTTTAGGGGTACTGGAGGGTTTTCTTCAGCAGAGTCAGCTTTCTCAAATAAGATGTAATTGCTTCTGTGAGTTGGCTTTCTAAGTAGTGAGGATGTGTGATTGGAACTTGGGTCAGAGAGTGAGGGAGGAGAGAGGAACAGGCAGCCTGTTTTCACCTGACTGCTAGTTCAGGCACTCCTTAGTTTAGAAGAGATACAAAATCTTCATGGGAACAGGACCAGAGGATAAATTTCTGCTTTACTGAGTGCCTGTAGCCCTAGCATACCCCATCCCTACTGCTAGAGGCTGATGTCTGCAGGACAGCTACCTACTGCAATGGCATTCAGAAGTAATCTGCAGGTTTCTTGGTTCCAATCACGTTCCATCTAGGAACCCACAGCCCCAGCATTGTTACCTTTCCCACTCTGACTCCTGTTGGATCTTTATATTCACCTGTTGCCCAATATATTATTCCAAAAATCTAGAGAAACCATTGTCAGCTTCACAATGTGTAAGTCCCTCAGAGTGCAGGGGTAATATTGCCTCACTGAGGCTTTCCAGTACAGCCATAGTGCAAATGTTACCATAAACCAATTACTGCTTTTCCCATATTTGAATAGCATTGGGAATAGCCACATCAGCAGAAAATTGTGCTTTGCTCTGCACTTGCTGTTGACACAAGTCCCACTGGCAAATCTCAGAAGCAACCACAAGTGACCACAGGGTCACCAAACTGCCCTCAAGGTACAACAACAGGCTATTGATGGCCAGGTAGGACCAAGGGCTTCCTCGACAGAATTCCTCAGCTCAGACAAGCATTTCCTCTCACCAGCTTTCTCAAGGAAACAGTTTCTAAATGCTCATCTTCAGGTCTCAAGTTTCATCATCTCATGTAAACCCACACATTGGTAAGAAAGGCAAGGAACCAAACCACACCCTAGCTGCTCTCAGAAAGGAAAAAAAATATTCTTTTCTTAAGCCTGCAGCAGGAGCAGTTTCCCATCTCATTTCCAGGCTTGGCTGGAGCTGCTATTCATTCAGCATAACAGAATCTGTTTGGCCTTTCAGTGGAGACTTTAATAAACTGATTGATTGCCAAAACGATGACATTTCCATACACCCACTCTGCTATTGAACTCAAAGACTGGAAACATTGTGTTAGCTCACAAACTTGGTATCGTTGGTGTGGTAGTAGTGATAATAATCTAAAAGGTTAGCTGTTACTTGCCCTGCTCAAAGGTAATGCAATTTTCTGGAGCAGGGAATTAAGAACTCATTCTGGTCTGAGCAGATGGAACTGGCAGAGCCTTGTAGTCCAAGGCCACGATCTCTTGGTACTCTAGTTTAGTTTTCCAAAGTTAATTAGTCTTTGAATCTCCAGGATCATTTAATCCTCATGCTTTGTGTCTTTTCTCCTGTTTTTCTTCCCCAGTAACTCAGGCTGCACTTGACATCTTTTTCTCAGTGCTCACTCCTGAACAAAAATGCTGCAGGTTGCTTTCTCAGCCTAAAGTTTCACACACCCCCACGAGTCTGGTTTATTTGCTTCCCTTCAGCCAGTCTGTTTCAAATGACTCTGCAAGATGTGCACAAACCAGACTTACTGTGACCCAGACACCACCTCAGGATCCCAGTCTGTGTGGGATCAAGCATTTGCCTGATAGTGTACCATGTTTGCCTTTATTTTGCCTTAGGCTCTTGTACATAAAATCATCTTTTTAGTGTGAAGTCATTATTACTTCCCTCTAAGGCATTTACTGAATTAAAGTACCCAAAAGGACAACTCTGCACTGAAAAAACATCAGCCCCAACACTTCCCTGTTTGAAGAAAGCTGATCCTGTTTCCTGGTTTGGCATTTTCCTCATAACAATGGACCACAGTTCTTCGAAACACAAAGACTCAGATTTATGCTTCCTAAGCACGTGAAGATCTGGGTGTGAATATGATATGAACAGATGTGTGCTGGTTCTCCAGCCTTTGGAGCAGTTTGGAATCCAACCCTGCACTGAGCATCCCAAGGCCTCTGACTGCAAAATACATCTTAGGAATTAAAAAACCAAAATCACCTTAGTGCTCAAGTCTCTAACTCCAAGGTACCTAAACGCAGATTATCACGAAGTCAGAATCACTGATTCAACTCTAGTTTCAGAATTCTTGTGGGCAGCATGTTCTCAAGAACAAAAAATAACTACCTCATTTAGGAGTCACTACTACATGTTAGACAAAACAGAATTCCATCTTTCTAATTATTTACACTTCCAGTGAATGATTTGCTGAGCCTTTTTTTTTTTTACTACTGTGAATTTCTTGGATGATGTTCAAAGTTCTGCTGGACCAATCAAGTCCTTACTTCCCTAATTAAATGTTTCAGTGAATGGAACGTGCTGGCTAAATGAAGAGCTAGGAGGCTGGTAGAGCCTCTGAAGCTCTTCTGAAAGCCTAAATACACACTGTTAGAAAAGAATAGCCTGCCCTCACTTACAGTGGTCTGAGGTTTTCTCTCATTTATTTATTCATTGTTGTGTTCACTGGCAGAGGAAAATAGCTGTGCATTGACAAGGAGTTTCCACAGTGGGAATGCTGAGCCAAAACAGCTTTCAGATCATCTGTATATCTCTTAAAAGGAGAGGGAAGCCACAGGAGCATATCTGGCATAGGGAGCAGGGGTAACAAGCCCCTCTGATACAGTATGCTCAGTGCATACCCTGCAGCTGGTTCTGAAACCCACTTGCCATGATTTGGATGGATGGGAGCATTTGGCTGGATGTGAGTGTGTGCTGAGGTCAGAGTTCCTGACCCAAATTGTGCCCTGCACGACAGGACAAGAGACTAATTGTGGCTGCTGCGATAGCATTTTCTGCTCTCTGTCTGGCATTGTTTCTGCTGAGCTCAGTAGTGAGAAATTTGGGAAGATCACTGCTCCATGCAGAGCAGGGGTCACTCAGTATGCTACAGGAGATGTACCACTTTTTAATTCAGGGGTGTCATCACTAGGAGAGAGGCTGCTGGCTGTGATGTAGATACCTCCAGGAACCACCATGAGTCAGGCTTGGGTCACAGGATGTTGTGTGCTCATGTCTCCATTCAGCTTTAAATGGGAGACTCCCTTCTCCCCCTTGGAACTCTTCACCCTCCCCCAGCTGTAATGCCTAGATGTCCAAAAGAGCCTTGGATCCTGCAATATGCAGGATCTATTGAATGTACCCTAAGTGGTTATGCTTTCCCATGCACACACAAACACTGGTGCAGGTATAGAAGTGACCACAGTGAGATCCATGGGCTCATCTACCCCTGGATGAGACTGAGCTCTGTGCCCATCATGCCACTCAGTTTGGGAAGCTGGTCTAAGAGTTTTGACCCAGCAGGGAATTATATTGACTCAGAACCTTCTGTATTGAAGCATAGGGCTTGGGTGAGAGACTTTGAGACCTTCAGGTGCCACGACTGATCCCAGTGAGTGAGGCTGCAAACGTGCTGTGTGTTTGATTAATGCCTTCCCAGGCACTCAGCACGTTCAGTAGGGACATAATTCTTTTCTTAATGGGTGTTTACAGTGATTACTGTTATGCTGCAGGGTTTTTATTAATCATTAGGAAGCTGGCTATCCAGGCAACTGGAATGAAATAATTTGTCTGAGAATTCATTATCATCAAGGGGACAGGCAATTAATGACTAATTAAACCCACTGAGAGGCAGTGGGAAAGGAGTGTTAATCTTGTTGCTCAGCTGTGGTGGAAAGTGGACAGGCACAGGGCTGTTCAATGTGAATTTGGAAAAGATGACATCTCTGCAACATAACAGGTTACTTAGCACATCAGTAGTGAATTCACTACAGCTATTCACTTGCCCAGGCACAATAAGATAAAAGAACCCTCTAGATTCTTTCCCTTTCCCTAGTTTGGATTAATTACAATGGCTGAGGACTTTGAAAGGTTGCAGATTCCTTTGAGTCAGGAAAAGCTTCCAGAAGATGGATTGACTGGCTTAGCTGGGTGGAAAGCCTCTGGAGTGTATACTGGCTGAAATATGAAGTTAGATAGGCTAGCTCACACATCAGGAAAAATGGGAAATTTAACAGCAGAACATTGGGATTGGTGGTACTGGGGCAGGACACATTGTGGAAACCACCCAGATAATTAGGAAACACAGAAATTTTTATGACATTGTTTTATCCAGGATATAATTCATCAAAAATAAAATTGCCATTGTGATCTTTTTTTACCTAGTTCCAGTTTTATGACATTGTTTTATCCAGGATATAGTTCATCAAAAATAAAATTGCCATCGTGATATTTTTTTACCAAGTTCTAGCAGCTTTTCAGAAAACAAATGCTTCACCTGTCATAGTTGCTAAAAAAACACATTGTGTACACATGACTTTCCTTTTGGGCATTATCCATTAGATATTCCAGTCATCCCAGTTCATAATGAACCAGTGTGTACACTGTAGTTGACAGTAACAACAGAAAAGCCAGGAATGAATTTGAGGAGACTAAAACCTGCTCTTGCCTAGAGTCAGTTCCTACTGGTGAGAGAGGAATTTTGGAATTCTTTGCCCAGAGGCTCTCCTGCTCCTTACAGAGCCATTCAGCAGGGGCACAGCCATACCAACCAGATCCCAGCACGCTGAAATCCATACAGCAACCTTGATTTAACCAATCTAAAGTGGGCAGTCAATTATAGATCTCCAGTGAAACAGACTTTGCTCATACCTGGACATCAGCAACTTTCACAGAAATCACTTCTCCTCCTCCTCTATTACTCCACATACTTACAAAAGGCAACTTGACGAAGCCAGAATCATGAGAAATGCCATGGTAAATCCTGGTATGGCCCAGGGAAGTTCAGAAAGTCCCTAAAGTTCAGGGAACAGAATTTGACTTTTTAGCAATAAGTTTCTTATCGCTAGATCCTGACAGAGGAAGATACTCAACCTATCCCACCCTGGTTCAGGGCTGGACAGAAACAGCTTGGCATGTTTCAGTCAGCTGTGTAATCTGAAGAGGTTTCTTTTTACCAAGCCCCTCCTTCCTTTCACATCCCAGTTGGCCAGGTCACATAGTGGGGTAGGAGGCCAGGAAATGGTCTCTGGAAAAATCTAGGTGTCATTTCTGTTAACTCATCCAGCAGAATAACCTTCTCAGCAATTGTTAAAGCAGCTGTATTTTTCCCCTCAATGAATTGGCATCTGTGGGCACACAGAATGGTTTTTATGTCTTTTTTAAACCATTGGGTTTAATAATAACTCATTGTTTGCAGAGCCACATGTGAAAAAATACATTCATGACATGGATTTGGCCAGACTGGTCAGACACCAAAGGTTTCCTTCATACCAGACTTTGGATTGAAGCAGAGCTCAGTGCAAACCTGATGGAAGAACAGCTCCTGATGTGATTGCCATAGTTGGACAGGATGCAGCTTTAACACCTGCTCTGCTGTGACTAGATGCTTGGGCTTTTATGTGTTTGTGAGCTACCTGACCCTTCACCAGGTCACCAAGAGTCCTCTTGGAGCTTGTTTATTTTCCCTCAGGATGCAGAGTTAGCTTATCCATAACATGTGGCACACTCTCTCTTAAATCCAAGTAGGTTGCTTTCCTAATAATGCTATATCCTATTCCCTCCTGGCTCCAGAGTCAGTGAATCCAAGTATATTCAGCTCCAAAACCTCAGTTCAAGTATGTTTCATGCTGAATTTAAAAACAATACCCAATCTGAGGGACAATGTTGGTTGGCTAGCAATAAGAAGGGATGCTGCAATGCCCTAGCCTTACCTTCACACACAAAATAAAAAAGGAAAGGAAGATCAGATAAGGACAGATAGTATTTTTCTAAGGAAGGAAGCCTTGCAACCTCCTAGTCTGCAGCTGCTGCAGCAAAACAAGTCATCAGGAGCTTTCAAGCCTCACAGTTGACATGGCCTCTCTACTGAGCTGTTTGGAGTATTTACTCTGGTTTTCTCTTTTACCCTTTTTTCTTCACCTTGTGCAATAAAACTTCCACATACTTCATGACCTATTGGGATGCAGAAAGACTGGAAAAGGCACTCACAGAATTAGTTTCTAAGCAATGTAAATCAATGCCCAGTTCCTGTTCTCATCACAAACAGGGATGCACTTAGGTTTCTAGTTATTTTCATAGACAAACTGTGATTCAGAAAAGATACTGTAAGTCTGTTTGCCTAATTTCTATATCGTTGTTTGCAGGATTTCTATGAAGGGATCTTGAAAGCGCTTGGAGAGGATGATGAAAATGAGCAGGAAGAAATTAAACTCAAGCAGGGTTTAAGTGAACTGCCTGAAATTTATGAATTACACCAAGACATCCTGGGAGAACTGGAAGAGAGAGTCCTTAAATGGTAAGTACAGAATGGCATAGTTTGATGGCCTGGATATCCCCTCCACAGCAGGTGGGTGAACCCATTGGTGCTCCCTTGACCCCACCAGCAGGGAGACTGGGATCCCAGCAGAGATGGAACGAGTAGAACCTCAGCTGCTTTGATAGGTTTTGCATACAGACAGGAAGGAAGCAAACAGAGAACTGTCAGGTTAAGAAATGAAATACTGAGAGGCCTGTGCAGTGCACAGCCCATGACTCTGAGACAGCCCCAGCAGTCAGGGTGGGGACAGCCTGTTCCACTTGCATTTTCCTCTGCCTGTTCCTAGTCATCCCCGTGTGGCTTCACACTCATGGCTTGAAGCTCACAGAGTCATGCCATGGGTGACAGGAACAGGAGACATCAGAATTCATCCTAAAGATGATCTGCTTGGAGAAATCTATATAGCAGCTGTGCAGCTCTCAGATAAGGGACAGCCCCTCACTCCCAGCACCAAGGCAGGATCTGCTGGGCTGAGCTTCCAAGCCAAACAGACACTGGCAGCCTGTGAGGGACTCCACCTAAGCCAAACATCCTTAAGGGTGAAGTCTTTCCATGAGAGAATAAGACCATGTTTAGAACAGACAAAGCTCCAAAATTAATTCAGTTAAGGAGACACCTAACTTGAGCCAGGCTCTAGTCTACCAAACTGCTGAAGTAGTTCAATACTCTGCATCAGGGAGTATGGCTCTGCTTTTTACTTTGCTTTGTTTATTTATCCTTTTGCCGCTGCTTTTCTTTCCGTGGCCTTAGGGAGGAGCACCAGAAAGTTGCTGATGTTTTTCTCTCCAGAAAATCAAGGCTGAATCATCACACAGCATACATTATGCAGTTTGACAGGAATTTGGCTTTGCTAGATGAAACGTGCCTTAAACATTCCCAACTGGCTACCATGATTCAGGAGTTTGAGGTAAGGCTCCCATGTTTTTTCACCTGCACTAAGTGCATGGCTTTGCCACAGGGATTACTCAGAGATTTATTTTTCTTGCAACTCCACCAGCATTCACACACAGGGTAGAATGAAACAATAGCTTTCTTTTTACAGGCCCTGGTGCTAAACTGAAGAGAGATGTTTAGTTGTGTTTGTGCCTGTTGCCCACACTCCTGTGTGTGCACACAGTGTAGGTTGGTAAATCTAAACCTGAGTCTGTTTTGCTGGAACATAGTGGAACTGTTTCTCAGTCTGTGGTAGAGTTATGATGATAACTGCTGACAGTTTGCTGCTGAGCTCACCCCACACACTTTGTGTTTTCTTTCCCCTGCCCTGGGCACAGCAGAGCTCTGGTGGCAGCTCTCAGAGTGTGAAACACCAACTTTTGGAAGTGGTGCGGCGTGTCTTCCAGTATCGGGTGCTGCTCACAGGTCAGTACAACCACTCTCAGAAGGACCCTAGGGAAACACTCCCATGATGTTCTCTGCCTCCACTGTGCTATACATTGACACCAAGACAGCTGAAACAGGGCTAAAGCAGTGTGGGATTTCCTGGGAACTTCAATATGCTTAGTACAGGATTTAGGAGATGTCAGGGAGCCTGGGAAGAGCCAGGCACTTCTTCAGGACAGCAATGCTGAAAGGTCACAGAAAAGTGTGGTCAGGTGTTTTTAGCCATTCCTTTTGGCTTTTTCCTTATGTGAATCCAAAGAGGTAGTGTTCAGCCTCTCCATCAACAGAGCAGTTGTACCCAGTACTGCACCCTAAGTGCCATGCACACTACACCTAAGGCTAGTGAGGAGTCAAAATCCCAGTCCCACTTTGCTGCATTGTAGGAGGCAGAGGTACAAATCTACATTAACAGTATGTTTACAGATTTGACATTTCCAGTACTACTTTCCCTTTACATTCAGGACTGCATGTCTCACTCCCACCTGGAGTCTCTCCAGGGAGGGTTGTGTCCCTTCTCTGCAAGCCACAGCAAATCTAGCAGGTTTGAGCCTGTGAGATGAAGAGACTTTCTGAAGCAGGATGTGGCCCCCAGAAAGAACTGGCAAGTTTAGAACTGGCTGGGGAAGGAAAGGGTTGAATTTAATAATGAATTTCAGTGTTGTCAAGTAATTTAGTGAAAACACAAAAGAGTAAGGGTCCATACAGATGGAGAAATGCTTTGGGAGTGGGTGGAAAGGGATGCAAGATGAGTTATGACTGGGACAGCAGAAAGGAAGCCACAAACCTGCCCATACAGCTGATGAAGGGCAGGGAATATTGGGAGGGAGTCCTATGATTGCAGCAGAACAAAGTGACCATATGAAAATTTTATGAACAGCACAGATTAACAGCAGTTTCATCTTGCTCCAGACACTTTGATCAAGGGTGCAACTCATTATTCACAGCTGGGTTTGCTTTTTTAGTATGAGCAACACAAATGAACACCGGATGCCAATAGTAGGAGGGTTTTTTTCTGACTTGCTTCCCTCTCTGGGTGTGTCTGCATTAAGGGCAACTTCCCAGACTTGTGGTTTACAGTATTTAGCAGTCTCACACCATCCTTACAGTGTTTATAATAAAAGGAATTGGCATATCTGAGTCAGAAATGCCCCCACTATGCTCTATCTTCTCTTCCCATTTCTGTAGTCTACAACAAATATTGCAAACATGCAGCACAGTATTTTGTGAGAAAGCTGGAAGGGCTTCAGTGCAGCTCCACTGATTGGATTCCATCTATTATTGTTGAAGCAACATGAGCTGCTCCTTGACCCAGGTACTCGCAGTAACTGGGAAAATGAAAGTTTTGGTGTGTAGGGAGATAAGGTCTGCTGGACTAAGATATTACAGAAAATAGGTTTACTACTTCAGTTCTTTGCCTCAAGAAACCAATTCCCTTTTTGCCTGCTAGGGCAGAGTGAGTCTGGAACAGTGCAGTCCTTCAGATTCTCAGGTGTACTTTGTTCAATAACTGGCTGATTCCACTAGATAAGGAAGACTATTTTATGAGGATATCGTTTGCCAATTATTGTTTTAGCTAACAACACTACAAGTTATGTAGATCTACATTCTAATTACTGGATGTCTGTGTTTGATTATTTTCTACAGATTACTTGAATAATCTTTGTCCTGATTCTACAGAGTATGAAGACACACAAGGTAAAATGAAATGGGTAGAACAAAAATTCTGCTTTGCTGATGCTGCTCCTAAAGAGGTAGAAGATCTGTACTGGTAGTATATGGAAGATGATTTTTAAGATTTTGTGTTAACAGGTTAGATGAAAGATCAGTAAGAGCTGATTACTAATTTAGACAAATTATTTAGGACAAGAACCCTGGGGTTTTTTTCATTGAAACATAGAGGTTTCCTGTGGTATTTTCATTCATTCAACTTAACAGAAGAAGAAAATATCATCTGTACAGGCATGGTGCAGATATTGTAGTTCTGCCTCAGTCGTGGAGGAAATCCTAGTCCTCTGGCTTTGTCCATAGTTGGCCTGGCCATTGTAAAGTCAGCATCTTCACCAACACATTAGACAGATGAAGCAGAAGTCTCTTACTCCCACACAAGTCAAAGAAAGGTTTAGCTGTGACCTCTGTGGGAGTAGTTTCCAGGCTGGAGTAAGCAGCAGTAACACTGTTAATGAAACCAGCTCACCCCTGTTACCACTGAGTGTAAATCCAAACCAACTCATAGCAATAATGTCTGTTCTGGCCAAGAGTAGAGTCTCGTGCAAGCTTTAGGACCCTGGACACTGACAGCAGAGCTACAGCTATACAGGTGGTTTAAACACCAGGACAGATGCTCAAGCCCTCTGGCCACAATTGCCTGTCTTGTCTGTGGTTAGCTCACACTTGTCACATTTCTGGCCAGCAATGGTTAGCATGCTCCCAGGTTATCCCCAGAAATCAACAGGAGCCTCTGCTCCACAGGGGAAAGGATGTGAAATAAGGACCTGAGCCATGTTATGCTCTCAGGGCCAGCAAACATGCCCTAGCCCAAGTAGAGAATCCCTGCTCTAACAGAGAATCCAGGAGTTAATTCACATCACCACTTCAAACACTTTTCTGTCAGAAAGGGATGACCTGTCCCCAGCAGTGGGACACCTCAGACTGCTGTGCTTTCAGATGGCTAAAAGCTGGCTTACATTCTCCTCCCTACCACAAGTTCCAATTGCCATAAATCTGCAGCTAGAAAACATTACAAAAGGATTTTGTGCCATGCTAGGTGCTTGAAAGGGACCCTATAAGCTCTCTGGGTCAGCACAAGTATGATGTTTCACACAAGTGAATGATGAGAAGAATGGCAGCTGCATTATGAAGGTGCCAGAGAAGTCCAAGGAGCTCCTGCTGGGGATGATGTTGTCTGGGTTTTTAAAGATGTAAACAGAAGGGATTTGGGTTATTTTCCTACTCTTCTATGTGATACATGATGTTTGTTTTGCTTCATCCCTCAGCTGCCTTATTGATTGTTTCTGAAATCACAGACCGAGCCAACGACAGCATGGTCCAGGCGGTGAGTCCTACCATGGCTTTGCTCTCCTGATCAACAGCAACTTTTTCACACACCTGTTCAGTTGAATACATCTCTCTGCTAGGTTCTGAAACCTCCTCCTGGGTGAGACTCAAGGGGTTTACAGATCTAGTTTACAGTACTACAGGTCTGGAGTAGATCTATGCCCTTTAGTGCAGCTGTGCAACATAGCAGCACAAAGGGATTTTTTCCCCTCTTGGACTTGCTGAAATATCTGTGTGGAGCACTGAAGGAAGAGAGGAGAATTTTCATGGTTCTGTTTCTAGCACATCTGCTCTTTGTCAAAACTGTGGCCTGGAAGAGATGAAACAAAATCTCCTTCTTTCCCATCTGTGTGAATACTGTGGGTTTTGTGAAGTCACAGGTTGAGGACAATCAAGGGTCAGTGTTCTGCTGAATCAGAGCTTGTCCTCCTGAATTAATATCCCAGCCACAAAGCCACAACCAGCTTTTCTTTCTCTCAGATTAAAAAAACCCCCACAAAGTAAATAATTTAAGTAGTTAGTCTAATTACAGAAGAAACTGAACAATGCCACTCAATTAGAGTGTTAATGACTTGTCATGTACCTGGTTGAAGTTCTAAGCACTAATTTAGACTTGGCATGTACCTGGAAGACGATTTCTGCTTGTCAAACAACACTCCAGAAATCTGACAGGAGCATTGAATTATGATCTACATTTTCTACAGAACACAAATGACTCTTTAGTAGCTTTTGTTTTATGATAGTAATACTCAAGCAGTTTTTCCCTGGGAACTATTAACTCGGTATTTTCAGCCACATTAGGATAATCACTATCTCCACAGCATTTTCATTAGGTAGGAAAATAATTCTTGCAGCTTCCAGATGTGTAAACAGAGGAGTAAGGCACAACATCACCACAGAGCCTTACATCTGTCTGTGATTCCAGGAGCCAAACTGGGCAGGGTTTGTGCTGCTCTCGAGTGTCTGTGACCTGTCAGAGGCCTGAGATGCTCAGAGCTATAAATCATTGCTGCTATTAGCAGCTGGTGAATTCCCTGGGGAGGTGTTCCTCCTGCACAGACATAATGATAAAGTGATCCAAGTTGCAGTTTGCTGCTAAAAAGGCCAGAGAAGGGTTTCAGCCACCCACTCTGCCCTACTTGCTGGGTGGAGCTTTGCTTTTATGTTTGAGTTGTAGCTGGTAAAGGATATTTGAAAGGAGAATAGTGATAGTTTTAAGGATAATGGAGAAAATGATATAAACAGGGAAATTAGTGGAACTGTAAGGAAACTATCCCCCCACCCTGAGCTGCCCACATTCCCAGATAAAACACGGTCCTTCATGTGTGATGGCTGTTTGACTTCCTTCAGGAAATGAATCTGATACTCCTCTGTCCATTTCCTGCTGCACATGTGTCCATAGTGCAAACATCAGCACTTCAACAGTGCAGCAGGCCTGAGCAAAGCTGAGCTGCAGCAGCTTCTCTCACTCTTGTAGAAACCCAGATGAGTAGTGCTAGCCTCAGCTTGAGTGTGCTCACAGGAGGGCACTGCCTTCTGTGGATGGAGAACAGGTTTTTGTTGTGAAAACTCTCAATTTGACAACTTTTGCCAAGGTTAAAACACCCCATAGTGATGGGAAAAGCCTTTTGCAAGTGGTTTTAGCAAATGTGGGTTGTGTCATAATCCCTGGTGTTTCCTCTGCTATTGGTTTCCATTTTGATGGGTTATAGTATTTTAGAAGTGATCTGAAAAATTCCACTTGTTGCTTTCTGCATGGCAAAAGAGATAGTTGACAGCTGAAGTTCTTGAACATGGTTCAGCTGCCAGTTCCACTGCATGGGCATATTTAATATGTGGGTACTGATTAAGAGGTAAACTTAGTATGATGCTCAACAATGGTAATATTTCACCAGGGCAGTAATATATGGAGGTATTTTAGGCTTATCTCAAAAAGCAAGCTGAGATAGGTACATTAATTGTGTTAGCTGAAACCCAGGGTAAATTAGCCTTGACAGACCATCATGACCACATGGATGTGTCCCTTCTGGTATCTGTGATAGCTTTCTTCATTAGCTGTTTCTGTAAACAGCACTGATTTGTTTCAGGCAGAAACAGGGCACAATCTAATCATGTCTAACTAAGCCCAGGGGTATCTTAATGCCAGTCAGTGGAGCAAAGGAAAACAGAGCACTACCTGTCAGAGCAGAAAAGTGTACTCAAGGGCTGTGAGGCCATGAAGTATCAAACACAATCCTTAGTCTGCAGTTTATCTGGGCACATAACTGAGGATTTAGGATGCAATAGCTAACTTAGACAGGAGACTCCTAATTTTTAGGCATTTTCCAGTGATCACTCATTGCTTCTGGGCAGCTCATTCTACTGTTCTGATCAGATAAAACCACAGCTGAGCCCTATGCACAAGTCTCTGTTTCAGCAGCCTCACCCACTGAATGGAAGGAGATTTGAAAAAGCTCTAGCAATATTGCAAAGGTACAGACACCCCTTCTTCCTCCTTTTTAGATTCACCCAATATCTTTCTTTTTTTTAAATAAGAACAGACTTATCTTGATTAACCTTATTTGCCATCTTCACTGATAAGTTCATACCTCATGCCAGTGCCCACCGACTGACTGTGCTTTCAGGCCAGGTAGACAGTGAATAGTACCAAAGTTTGATCACAAACTTTGTGATTTTTGCACAGCATCAAAACAGAGATGCAGCTTCATTGCCTGCTTACTAGTTTACTTTCTAAATCCTCTATTGCAAAGGCATTAAATCATTACCACAGATCATAAACCTCCAGATAATCCTAGCAACAGTCCTACAGAATTAAAGCCTGCCTTGGATTACCTGTGCCATGGCAGTAATGCACAGGCCTTTGGAGCAGACACTGTAGTTTATTAGTTCCCAGACCCAGCAAGTCAGCAAAGAAACCAATATATAACTACCCTGTGGAGTCAGAAGGCTCTTTGCAAGGTGAACTGAGGTAGGAGGGGACAGAACCACAGAAAGCCACAGCAGATGTGAATGCAAGTGATGAGGCTTTATGAAACACATAAGGCAGGAAGAAGACTTTTCTGGGCTTCAAATCCTTCATCTCAGTTCTCTCTAAAATCTAATTCTGTACCACAACTTCTAAAGAAATAAAATGGTGAGGAGGGGTGAGGGAAGGTTTTCCTGCTTGTCTAAAAACAGTCTCTATGCACTCTTCTAAACACAGTTTCTCTCCCCCAGGAGAACTTGCAGAAGCTGGTACACATTGAGCACAGTGTGAGAGGGCAGAGTGGCCTCCTCCAGCCAGGAAGGGTGAGTGCTGCAGGCAGAGCTGTGCTGATAAGGTCATTGTTCCCAGCCACATATATTTCTGATTGTGCGATGGCCAGATTTCAGATGTCTACAGGTGTTGTTCACTGGGCTGCTGTGATAAGAGCTGGAGCACTGGTTTGTGTAAAAAGCCATCACTCTGGCAGTGCACAAAGGGAGCCTCAGGCTGGGAAAGACATGCATTGGCTCTGCTTTTACACAGAGCAGCCATTTGGCTTTGCACTCCAGCTGTCCTCAGCCACCCCCAGTGTAGTATATTTTGATGGAGCTGCTGTTTTCCTCCTTATTTACTCCTGTTCAAAGGTTGCAACACTAGCAGGAATTGTTTGCAGCCTGGAAAGGCTCAGAGTTCTATATGGCTGGGCAAGAACCTTAAAGCAGGGGAAATAATTTTTTTTCAAATTTTTACTGTCACCATTCCCCTGTGATGTTTTTAATGCAAGACATTAACAGAAATGTGGGAGAGTGTACAGCTGTCTTGCCATCCACATCAAATGCAAATTTCTTCTTCTGGCTTTCATGCCTATCCAGTTTCCTGAGCTCAAACCCAGCTCTACACTTTAAAAGATTTTTCTTTCTTGAGTTCAGCAACTCTGAATTTCCCTTCAGTCCACCAGTATCTTCAGCAAAACTCAAAAAGCAATTTTCAAGGCTTGCATACTCATAGTACAAGAATCCTCATCAGCCAAATAGTGCAGTCAACCTCTGTTTTTCTCCCTAATATCAGTATTCTCACTTGCCCTCAAGTAATGCTTTAGCAAATTCTGCAAAGCCCAGCATGTAGAATTTGCAGGACTAGTCCCTGATTATAAACTGTTCTAGAGTGAAGACTAAATTCTGGTGTCCATCTGAAAAGAGCAAATGATTGTTAATCCACTGACTTCATTCAGTTATGGCAGACCTTTTCAATCATTACTGCAAGTTCCACTGCGCTGCTTTAGCTGCTTACATACACACTCCTACCTGCACACAGCAATGAGACAGAGCCTCAGAGTATTGTGCTTGTAAACATGCACAGATTATGTATGCAGGTATACTTACGTGGATGTAGCATGCTGAAAACCAAGGCTTTAGCTTTTCTCTTTGGTCTGCCTATTCTAGAGGACTTTTAAAGACAAGAGTTCTTTCCTGAAGCCCATTGTGCATTATTTTTGCAATCTGTGACAGTCACCTCTGAGCACAGCACAACAACAGTGGGCTGAGGACAAGTGGGATTGCAACCCATTTTGTACTGACACAGATGCAAGCCACGAAGGGCAGCAGAGCGAACCCAGGCAAAGACTAAGCCAGATCATAACAAATAAGTCTAGAAACAAGTGTTGAGGTTATCTATCTCCTCCTGTG